CAAACTGAGCTATGACCAAACGTTACGAGAACTTACGACCCTTGCTATTGTCTGTGCGGATTTGAACTTAGTTTATTGCAGTATATTAATATTATTTTATTGCAGTATATTAATATTATAGTAAACCCCCTGGATGACAGTCATTAATTAATGTACTATTACATTATTAGCGTGCTGATAATATCCTCATATGGCAGTCATACATTAATATAATATACCCTAGATGGCTGTTTTTAACACTTGAGCAAGGAAAATGAGCCATGCGAAGTGCAGAATCCAAATTGCATCATCTCACTTAAAGCCAGAAAGCCATGTGCTCGAACAGAAAGCAGAATGCACCAAGTTATACACCAAATAAGAGCGAAGCAAACAAATCAAATGACAATGTCAGCCCACATCTCGCCCGCACCATCATTGTATCCAATGTCACTCTTCTAATTTGGCGCCTGGAGCCCAGATTACGTTCAGCCAGCACCTAGACACTGGCCTATCAACCTACGACGTCAACAGGTCTTCACAAAGTACAGCTGCCAGATGGCGAATGGAGACTTCGGCTTCACCAACCATGCTCACCATCACCAGGTATGTTCCATCTCCCTGTCCTTATTCTTTGCCGCTCAATCCCTTCTCACCCACGCTACACCCTCTCCCAAGGACCTCCACTTAACCCTCTCTGACATCATACGAGCAGCGCCCGGCTATGGCCGCTGCGTAGCCCAAGCTGCGTCCAGCAGCTATGTCGCGCGCCCCCACCAGCGATTTCCTCTTGCCCAGGTCGTCCTTCAGCGCGCGTGCACACAAGCCAGCAGCGCAGCAGAGCTCACGCCAGCAGATCTTGCTCCGGCGAGGCAGCATCCACGCCGCTTGGCCTCTTTCCCAGTAGCACCGCCCAGGGACATTCCGGAATGTGCCCTGGGACCTTCGGTTGCAGCTAGCCTAAGTAACTGAGGTGGCCGCTGCATTCTGATTGCCCGAAAGGCCTTAGGTGACACCATGCCTTTTTGCGCAGCTTTGGCTCGCGGCCCCGTTTCTGCTCACACGGCCCTGCTTTCAGAGGCCACGTCGATTTTCCAGGGCACATTGCGGTTGCCGCAGGGCGCAGAGTCGCAGACCCTTTTCCAGCGGCAAGGGCCCCTTTACTGTCTGTTTGATGGCCTTATGCATTGCACAGGGTGGAATTGCAAAAGATCCCTGAAAGTTCATGTATATGTGAAAGTACGGTTTAAGTACCCCGAAAAGATGTTGGTAGAGCTGAATACCCCTTCGACATTTTGAAAGTTTGTGAAATACCCTCCGGGTCGGTTGGACCGGATATCTGTGCAATATACCCCTACCGGGTACCTGTCAAGTTTGAAAATGAACCCGTACCAGCAGACTTTTCAAAAACCCTTCAGATTTTCGATGTACCCCTACTGGCAGTCTGGCATCCCTCACGTTTTGATTCGCTCCTCGAACCGTTGGAGGGGCAAGTACGACCACCATCTCTCTCTCTCTCTCTCTCTCTCTCTCTCTCTCTCTCTCTCTCTCTCTCTCTCTCTCTCTCTCTCTCTCNCCCCCCCCCCCCCCCCCCCCCCCCCCCCCCCCCCCCCACTCCCCCCCACCCCAGATGGCAGATACTGATGTGATGGTTGGCAATATTCATGTCTCTTTTCTTTTTGCAGGAACTGATTGAGAGAGTTGACCGGCTTCATGCTGAGTCCCGTGTTTTCGAAAAGTTCTCAGACATCGAAGGCGACTCGATGTTCGCCCACTCTCGTCAGATACAGGAAATGCAAGCGGAACTTGAACACATGGCCCACATTGCCCTTCAGATTACTGAGGTCGAAGATCTGTTTGGCCTTCCCCCGACCGACTTCAGAAAGTTCCAAGACCTTCGGGACTGGATCAACCCATTTAGCATTCTCTGGACAACTGCGGTACAATTCCGGGAAAAGAAGGCAGCTTGGGTCGCGGGTAAGTAGGAGAGCCACCTGTTTGGGCTTGCAGGGTCTTCACAATGTTTGTGGGTGATGATGGGTGAGCTGAAGGATAAGACAGCTCCATCCTTACCTGTTTTTTTGCGGGTGGGTGAGGAGGATATTCCAGCTCGCCGTTGTCTGTTTGTCGGTGAGGATACGATTCCAGGTTTGCGTTATCTGGCCTTCATAATGCAATATTTGTGTGTGCGGAGGATATTCCAGAATCCACCTCTGCCTTATATATGGTTGCATGTGGGCAAGAGAATTCCAGCCAAGGGTCCAGCTCTGCCTTATCTGTTCATCAATGAAGGCATTCCAGTTCAGAGTCTGTCTTATCTGTTTGTGTGTGGGTGACGGAATTCCAGCTTAGGGTCTGATCTGTTTGTGTGTGGGTGTCACTGGGTGAGGAGGATATTCCAGAGTCCAGTTCAGGGATGGCCATTTGATATGTGGATTGTTGATCTTTGCTATGAGATCAATCTGGTGTGATTGCGAACAACTGTTTTACATTGCCATCTTTTTGGGTTCGCTGATGAGGGTTCTCATCGTGTGATGAGGGAGAGTAAGCGTGATGCTCATTTGTTTACTGTATTGGATGCTTTTTCTCCAGTGGTTTTGATTGTGTGCTCTTTTGAAAGTGTGCGTCATAGACTGTGCCAGATGGGTGGCTCTCATGCTTGCAGCTGTTTTGCCGAACAGCTCATCCCATCCCATATCTGTTCTGTTTGTCCATCAGGGCAGCTCAGAGTGTGCCTTCCCTGTTCGTGGATTATGGCATTCCAGCTCAGAGTCTGCCATATCTGTTTGTTTGTGGGTGACGGGACTCAAGATCTCTGCCCTTATATGTTGTCGACAATGTTTGTGGGTGAGGAGGCTATTCCAGAACCCAGCTCTGCCATATCTGTTGTCCGTGAGGGCAGTCCAGCCCAGGGTCTGCCTTATGCAATGATTCAACTCCCAATCACACACAATCACACACCACACGCAGTAGAACATTCATTTGAGAAGTCACACTGGACACCGAGAAATGAAAACCAAAGTCGCTCACTGAAATCCACACCGAATTGTTGTTTCATAAAAAGAAATTGTTTGTATCCTCCAGCGGCGCCTGCCGCACACCAACCAAGTATGAATCAGGTATGTAACTGCTCTCCCTCTCTGTCATGTGTGACTCACCCTCTCGCTCCCATGTCTTGTATCACTCAAACTCCCTGTCACGCTCATGCTCTCCCTTCTCCCTCATGGATCAACTCTGAATACAGCTGCGATGTACTCCTCTGAACTTCTGCGGCTATGGCCGTCTTCTTCCTCTTCCCTAGCTCTGGTAACCAGACGTCTCCTTCCGCGCTGGGCGCTTGCTCCTCCGCTAGCACCCCCTCTCATCCACGTCGCACTGTCGCACAAGCAACCGGCAGCGGTTCCCGCAATTGGCACATGAATAGTTGATCCCGCTGGCTGGTGCTGCTGAGCTTTTATTCTTGCTGATCTGCCTTCCAGACACCTTCTGTTGGTTATGGGTTAGCCCTCTTGCCTTTGTTCCCTGCTTCTGAAAGCTCACATACTTTCTTGGGTTGGCTGCTTGCATGAATCGACTGACACCTGGCCTAACAGCTCTGGTGATCCTGGATGAAGTTGTGGTGCCTCCTGAAGACAGACTCTTCAACCCATAACTGTTATCTACTAGGGACTTCCTATCACGATTTACTTAACACGCTCGCCTAGGCCTCTGCAATCATGGTACAAACGAAAACTACTCTGCTAGAGTATTCGTGCACAATGCACATTGTAAAAGTGGCTGGAACTACTAATAGAACACGGAATGGGATTTGGGTCTAGAACCTGGGACTCAGGACTGGGACCTGGAACTCGGGACTGGGACCTGGGACCTAAGACTCTGGTACAGCGTGAAATCCTTTCACTTAGCTGTTCTTCGATGAGGGCATTCCAGCACAGAGTCTGCCCTATCTGTTTGTGTGTGGGTTAGGGGGTTCAAGCTCTGCCCTTATCTGTTCTCAAACATGTTTGTGGGTGAGGAGGTTATTCCAGAATACATCTCTGCCTTACCTGTTCGTGTGTGGGTGAGGGCATTCCAGCTCAGAATCGGCCTTATTTTCTTTCGTTTTCTTTTTTTTTAAGTAATGAAATAAGCTCCTTTCTATTGGTGCGGAGCAGCACCTGCTGGAAACCGGGTCCAGCATCCCTGAAATTAGATGAAACCCACTCTTAATGCTTCCCCACATGACGGCCTGGGGAACCGTGACCCCATTGATTGTTTCCATGAGGAAGGATTGACTGTCAGTCTAGCCCCACACCTTTTGCAAAACCTCCCAAAAACTAGACCCCCATTAAGAAACATGTCAAAAACAGTCCTGTTAGCCATATTTTGGCAGAGTTCAAGTGCAGAGTACTAACCCCTCCTGTGTTTAGATCAAGACCACGATTCTGTCTATATGAATGCTTTGCGCCTGCTCTTCTGGGTACAGAAACTTACAGAATTGTAGCACACTCCTTTCTGAGTCTGTATTCCTCTGCACATGTCTGATGATTCCACTTCAGCCCAATGGCCTCTAGAATCTCCTATTCAAAGCCAACTTTCCTTTTGTCATAAGTCTGTACTACTCTGTACTACGAGTCTGTAGAGAATTTTGGTCATCTGGAGATAGATGTTCATGAAAGCATAATGCCAAAGACTTCCTGTTTAGAGTCGGCCTTATCTTCTTCTTTTTTCTTCACTCCCTTCTTTCAATCTTTGCTCATTTGATTCCAAAGCAAAATAAAAAAAATGAAAAACAAATTTAAAAAAAAGGAAAAAAAATAAAATAAAATAAATTCAAGAGGTCATGGGTGTACCAACTGAGCTAGGCCAGTGGGTAGAGTCAGCCTTATATCTGTTTGTTTGTGGTTCAGGAGGATATTCCAACCAACTTTGCGCTCATCTGTTCTTCACAATGTTTGTGGATGATGATATGATACTCGGCTATCTGCTTTTTTTTTTTTTTTGTTTTCCCGAAAACCACACTGCCATGCTCACTATTTACTCGGCTATCTGCCTTAGCTAGTTACTCGTCACAATTTTTGCTTTGGGTGAGGGTACTTGGGTCTGCTTCGCTCTCTTCCTAATCTGTTCTTCGCAAAGTTTAGAGGAGGGCAGAAGGGTGGTATGCATGGGCTCTTGTGTTCGTGACATCGACAGTTGGTTTAATTTGTGATAAGTGCGAGGATCTGGGTCCTCGGCAGGCCTAAAGGGCCCCTGCTGCAGATGTGCCCACCCTAAGTGAAGGCGGGCCTAACAAATCACGAGAGGCCCTCAGCTGTCAATTTCGTATTTGGGGTCCAGGCAGTTTCGACGCGCCAATTGGTTGAGGGAAACACAGGCCGAGCAGCAAGACATTCCACGGCCTTCCGGGCCTTTCCAAAAATACAGGCCCTGGGCGAGAATCGCAGCCTCATACACAGACAGTTGGGAGGGCCAACCGAATGAGGCCCAGTAGCTGCAACAGAGGCACAGCATCCTGGGGCCTACCGGAAGCTTCCGGGCCGAGGCCCAGGCCAGCCAGGCTGCGAAGGCAGGCAGGCTCTTTCCATATAGGAAAGAGCTCGCTGCCTGGAGCTCATTCAGGCACTCGCATGCTAGCGGCAGCGCTGCTGGAGCGGACGCTCGTGGCCTGCTGCTGGCACTGAGAGGCAAGGTGCTAGCGCGTGCGGTCGTGCAGGGAGCAGGGCGCTGCTGAGGGCAGAGCCATAGCCCAGCCTCCATAGCTGGTTGGGCTTGGACTACTGTGAGGCGCAGGGGTGGTCTTCGGGTGTACAGAGGGAGGACGTGGGAGTAAGACAGGGGAGAGAAAGAAGGATGATGATGATGGTGATGTGAGGGCACATACCTGGTATTGGTGATGGTCTGCATGGGCGACATCTTCAAGTACTTCGTAGGCTGCTGACATCAACAGTTGCATTGTCAATTAGTAGGCAGAGAGTAGCTGTGTAGGAAGTAGGCTGGGCGCCAAGCGCCAAGTAGGGAGATAGGGCCTAGGCGGGAGCAAGCTCTCATTGACATTGGTTTTCAGTGTTACGAATCTCATTGCTGTTATATTGGTGCATTTCTGCTTTCTGGACACTGTGCTACTATCTGGCCTTCAATGTGATTGTGCAATCTGGTTATTGTCATCTCGCTACTGCTCATTTTCCTTGCAATTTGGTATCAGAGCTGGTTCAAACTGCGCTTCATTGACTCTTCGCAATAGCTGTTTGGTGCTTCGCATGAGGTGTGGGGCAGTAATAAGGCTTGGGCGTTGAGTGATAGGCGGCCCAAGGTCGTGTGGGCACGACAGGAAGCTATGTGGTGACATTAGGGGTGTACGCTGGATGATGAGAGCTCACTGATGTGGCATTTAAGCCGAGGTGGAACTGCATTCTGCTGTTGGTTGTGCCGAGGCAAAGACCGGTCATCATAAATGCACGTCAAGTTATGGTGAGAAATTTGTGGTTGGGGACAGCATTATGAGGTACGTTGCTCTCTTCCTTATCTACCCTCTTCATTACTTCTTACCGTGAGGAAGTGAGTTCTGTCTTCAGAGTCCTCTCAATGTGAGGTGTTGCGAGCGCTCAACCTTGAGAGTCGACATTCTTCCTGGGCAGCAAGCTGGTGGGAGACGGGCGATGCCTCTAAGGGCCCTGGACGAAGCACTCGGGTCACGGTCACCATGCCAACCCACTGGGACTAGTACACGCAGGCTTTGCCGCAAGTCCTTGGATCTGCTGCTGCGCAATAGAGGTCATGCAGGGCATGCCAGCCGTTTGAACAAATGCTTTCTAGACCGTCTTTAAATATTTCTGGCAGGGACTTAGTGTTGACTCTGGTTGTGATCGTCGTCCTGATTGCGACATTGAATAATTCCCGAGGACCATGGGGGCTGTCCTTAAACTGCCTCTTGATCAGCCAGATCAAACCGGGTGTAAGGCTCGTTGCATGCGAGGATAAATAAGGTGCAGGGGCTG